TCAGGAGGTCCTGGACCTTCTAGCCCTGATTTAAAAGATAGATGCCTTTGGCCTCCTGGGGAGCTGTGGCTTTGGATTTCTAGAGAAGGTGACCATGTCTCTTTTTTCATTGGCCTCACAAACACGGACCATTGTCTAATCAAATTTTAATTAAACAAAGTGGCTGAGAATAATTTAAAGGTAGTATAGTTCTTTTCAGGATTCATTATTAGACAGGAAATGGTTAATAAAAGTTCCAGTAATTCTTAGCACTAGAACCACACTGGAGGAACTGGGTGATGGCAATTCAGAATTGATTTGCAGGAAACCTGGGCATTTTCCACTTAGACACTAGAGGAACTAGTGAAAGATCTGGGCTCTGTTCAGAATCTGTCTTTTCTGTCTTTACCTGCGTGCTGGACTGTGGGAGCCACAACTTGATTTATTAGCAAAACAAGTCAGCAACTAATTTGTTCATTCATTGCTGTCCTTTGAGAAGTGCTGCTGGGGATAAAGATGAAGATCATTGAAAAACAAGTCAGTTTCACCAGGCAGGACCCCGCAAAGTAGGTCACCCTGGCTTTCCACTGGGCCGAGGGAGGCTGGAATCCCATTAACCTGAATCAAGCAGGCTCTGGAAGGAGGGCAGGGCTGCTTCAGCAAAACAAAACTTGGCTGCATGTATGCTTCCTAATTTGACTTCGTAATGAGATTTGGAAGAGGAAGGGGGAGTGAGGGTAAGGGAAAAATCAAAGGAAAATTCCTTTCCCTTAACAAGTCAGTAGCACCAAGTGGAGAGGTTTTGGTTTTTGGTGTTTGGGAGGTCTGACTGTTTGCCATCAATTACTTCTCTTCACTGGGTCTCAGGAAGCCTGAGGGATGGGTGAAGTAGAAGGAAGAGGTCCCCAAATATTTCTTTCAATTTTTCAGAAAAACAAACTCCATTGCTTTTCATCCCCTTGGGATGGGAGCCCAGTCTTTGGCACTGCAGCCCAGTCTTTCGGTCTTTGTAGCAAACTTCACTGAGGAGTTGTCTGTATCTGTTGACTCCACTGCCTTACTCTGTTCCCATTTCACCTGCGGTGTACTGTGTTTGCCTGCTATCCCTCCACAGAAAGGATTCTCCATAAGGTCAAGGTGACCTTCATGTTGAATCCAAAGGGCATTTTGCAGCCTGGTTTTACTTGATCTCTCATTTGCAATGGATCCAACTGGACACCTCCTTGAACACTCTTTCATGGGCTCCCAGATACCAACATTCTTCTGGATCTCTCTGCTGCTTCTTTTCTGTTTCCTTTGCAGGCAAGTCCTGCAAAGCTCTTTGGACTCCATACTAAGTCCTTCACTCTTACTCTCAAGATGTCTCTCATCTGTGCCTTTGGCATTGGTTTTCTCCCATGTCTAATGACTCCCAATTTCGTAATCAGTCCTGAGATCCAAAGCTATTGAGTTAACTGGGTACTTAGTACCTCCATATGAATATTTTGAAGACATCTTAATAATGTAACATGATCAGAACTGATCTTGTGGTCTTTCCCACCAAACTTCATCTAATGTTTCCAGTCACCACCAATTTCTTAGGCCAGCCACACACCTGAGAGGCTCTTGACCGTTCTGCATCTGTCACCCTCTCTACTCAATCTATCACCGCAGCCTGTAAGTTTTACCTCCTACACACATCACCCACATCTCTGCACCTCTTTTTCCACCTCTCACCGCCACCATCATCCCAGTGGAAGTCACAGTTAATTCTCTCCTGGCTCTCTGCACCCACCTCCTGGCTGGTCTCACCCTATCTACTTTTTGACATTGGGGCCAGAGTGGTGTTACTATATTTTTTAAAATGCTAATTTGACCATGCCATTCTTCTGTTTAAAACTATTCAATGATTTCCCATTACTTTAATAGAAAAATAAAATTTAATGTTTCATAGCTTGGTTCCACACCAGGTTCATCTTTGATTTCTGGATCCAGTTATACCATAGCCCTTTAGTATATTAAATAGCCTCTGTTCCCCCTAATACAGGCCTTTGTACGTGACAATCTACATTTTTGAAAATACAGGCCTTTGTACATGACAATCTAGATTTTTGAAAATAGTTTCCTCTTACTCTGTTTCTTTGCCTAATTAATACCTACTAATTCCTTAAATGCTGGCTCCAATACCATTTCCTTTGAGAAGCAGCTTTGACTCTCCCTCCAGCCCCTGCTGGGTCCCATCTCATGCCTTTCCTTCCATGGGTATGTGGAATCATTTGTTTGTAGGATCATCTAGTTAATGTCTCTTCCCACTGAACTGAAATCTCCTCTGCTCAGCAAGGTATCCCCAGGTGCCTTTCATAGAACCTATCTTGGAGACCCTTGATAATTTTCTCTTGAATCAATTGTTTATGTTATCCTTGACAGAAGGTAGGGTAAATAGAGGCCAAGATCCTGTTTCCTTCTGTTTTGAGACAAATGTCAGACAATTCAGTGTCACCATATTGTTAATTTCATGCTAAGCAGATGCCTGACTGGGAGATATATATGTCTTGATTAATTAAAAAGTGAGAAAATGAATGAGGTTACTTAATTGGAGGGACCTTGTCATAGTAGGGTAAAGGCATTAGAGTCAGTCAGCTAGATATGGATCTACCCTTGATAAAACTAGATGATGACACTGGACCTGTCATATAAGCTCTGTGTCTCAGTTTCATCATCTGTAAAATGGGGTCACCACAAGGTTTATGTGGTATAAAAACGTGAGTGCCTATTATGATACTTGGGACATAGCGGATGTTTAAAGTAAAAGGATTTCCATCTCCTTTATTTCATTGTTGTCTCCCTCCTATCCTCTCTCTTTCCTAAATGCCTCCTGTTTTGTAGTTTCATTTTTCTAAGCCCAGGCTCTTCTAGGTATAAGGAATCTTTAGTGTATAAAAATTGGCACCCACAAACTGTGGTCCAGATGCCTCTGACCCCTACCTGCCCTTGCACCCCTGCCTTGTTGGAGGACCAAAGGTGAGGGCTTCTTCACATGTAGGTCTGGAGCCTGGACATGGGGGAAGCTGATGAGAGACCTGAGCAGACGGGATTCAGGGGGACCTAATTGCTAATTAATGTCAATTTTGCAAAGGGGGATAAGGGCCTCTGTGAGTTCACATGGTGTCTTCTGGTAGGACAAGGCTGAGGGACAAATGCCCACCTAGCAGGAGAGAGCTCAGGGCAGCAGGCCTGCTCCCCATTGCTTCTCATTGAAGGGAAAGGCACTTTCTGGCTGGGTAGTTTTCTGCTACCCAGGTGTGGGCCTCCTTAGAGAGGATCCAAAGCAAGGTTTGGAGATCCCAGCAGGTTAAAAGGCTTTCACATAGCCAGCTGTCTGCTCCAGGTCAGCTCCCAGGGCAAGAAGCATCTTTCCAGACTCAGCCTCTATTCCTCTTGCACAAAGCCTTCACTGACTCTCTCTTCCTTGGGACCCTTCTCTGGGCTTCTAGAACTGCTTGTATCCTTATCCTAACACTTCTCTGCTTGGAGTGCACAGGACTACCATGATGATACTATTTTTTTTTTTATATAGATATGGTGCTATCTGGATTTATGCAAAGGTTAGACCTGGAGTAGAATTCTATTATCTGTCTCCCCTCAGTGGACAGAGATTGTGTGTATAAGACTGGCACATGGGAAGGGATGAGTCACTAGTTTGCTGAGTAGTTAAGCAGGTAAGTAGTTAAGCTGCCTGGCGACAGCTTCCTTGCTCTCAGCTAGGTGTGTGCGTTCGTGGCCTTCTTCTTTTGGCTCCTGCTGCCCCACCCTGGGAAGCCTTTCTTTTAATGTCCTGGACTTCCTGCCTATCATTTTGAGTTTGCTTTATCTCCCACAGAGCAGGACTCACAATTCCCCATGTTGCTGCTGTCTGCATCAATATGACTGTTAATGGATGCAGACTACCCCACGGAGGGCTAGCTAAGCCATTCTTCATAAACCATTTTCTGGTGGAGATTTCCAGGCTTTACAGTATGAGTGGAAATTAAAGCTTGTTCAAGGAAATGCACAGTATTCAGGGTGGTCAGAGTGAGGTATAGAGCAGGGAGCCACAGAAAGTGAGCCCACTAGAAAGGAGACTAAAGTGTGTTACATTTACTGTAGCCCATCAAGCTGAATCAAGGAGCATGGATTTCATCCTGGAGGCTAAAGGTCATGGAAGAATTCTTAGAAGGGGAGGACATGACATGTTGAGGTTTTAAAGAGATTATTATGGTAACAGTAGAGATGAGGAATTGGATTTGGAGCGATTGTGGAAGAGGAAAGAGGTAAAGTAGTCCAGGAGTGAAAAGATGATGGTGGTTTGAACTAATGTCAGGAGAATGGCCAGCTAAGGACTGGACTAGAATCAGTACTGTACTTCTAATGTTTCCCTACGGAGAACAGGTTTGTGTGAAGGTAATGGGTTCCATTTTGTACATGATGAACTCCAAGTTCCATGTGGGTCATCCATAGAGATGTCCAAGAAACTGATGGATGTATCATTACATCTACTTATTTGTCATCCATCCATCCATCCACCCACCCATGAGAGTGATAGCTCAGAGTATGTCAACATACCCCTGGTCACAGAAGACTCCAGGTCAAATGACACCTTCAAAGGACAGTTAGAAAAGAGATGGGGACTGAGAATGGAACCCAGAATAAGTCTGAGTTTCTATGATTTGCTTACAGTGAGTACAACTATGTGCTTTTAGGGCAAATGCACATTTAGTCTGTTGTAAGCTGAGGGTACGAATGAATACAGAATGGTTAATCTTTATGTCTAAGTTTGGTCCTCAGTGGTGGAGGATCATTGGGGGAATAACATGGATTCCTGAGAAGACAAAGGCACATGTGATACTCCACACGTGGGCAGCACCTCACCTGTTTGCTCACCTGACAGGTATTACTGACTTTAATGACAACTGGTATGTGGTAGCCATTAGGTAGAGGTGGCTTCCAGGGTAAGGGTAGGATGGGGTAAGGCAGGCCAGGGCTGGGGTCTGTTTCCTACTTACACATTGAGAGGCTGCCAGGCTGGCCACTGGGCTTTGGCTTTGATGACAGTGAGGACCTCATCACTCTGCAAAAGAGAACCATAGATGTTTAGTGAAGAGAACGGGGCTCTTGGGAGCAAGAGGGATTTCTCATGGCGAAATTAGCCACTCCCACTTCCTCACCTGCCCCTCTATCACCCACTCCCTCCCTCTATCTGTCCTGGTGTGGAGCTATCTTGTCCCATAGTACAGGACCCTGGAGCCTCCGTGACACCAGGAGTTGGCCTAGACACTGATGGGCTCACTGAGTCACACCTTTGTTCTCTAGCTTAGTCTGTCCTTTTCCAGACTGCTATATCTTGTTCAGCCTGAAGGGCTGAGTCCTGTGCTCTGTATCCAGGCACTGAGTGGGGCCTGCTCCAGGCCAGCAGGTCTGTACAATGACGGTGCAATGTAGCTAACACTTGAACCTGAGAACCATAATGCTGGGCTTCTACTACTAGGGAGACCTTCTCCCTTCAACAAGGAGGCCAGAAAAAACCTGGGCCAATACACTGCTCCACTCATGACATTCTGCTCTATTTTACTTGGACAGTGTGTAAAGCACTGTTAAAGCATGCATGGGGTGGGGGAATCTCAAATAATGTTTTGAGACAAAATTTGCTAATTAACATTTTGAAGAACAGTATTAAGTGGTCATCGGGGTGAAAATCAGAATTCTGTTGATCTTGTTTGACTTTACTTTGAGGTTTGGATGGTTTTTATTTCAGTTACACACTGGGATCAGGAGTATCATGATCTTTGCAAGACTTAAGGTCTGCACAGCTCTGAATTCAGCTTTGGCAGTGCCTTCTCCAGAGTGGAGTCCACTGGCCCTGGATCTCCCCTTCCCCTGGCCCAGGCCCAGCAGAGCTCTGACACCATCATCCATTATGCACAGAAACCCCAGAATGTTACCAGCTGGGGGAGAAACAGCTTTGTTGCCAACTGAACAGATCCTTGAGTTCCAGGGAGGGGGAAAGACTAGCTTGGCAGCCTCACAGCTACGCCCCAGTCCTCAGAGCTATGCCTGGCAGTAGGTGCTTAGAACATATTTGGGATGAATTGGTGAACTTCTCCTGGGCTTGATAATTTGCCCAGAAATCCCCCGAACCCCAAGGAAAGTGGAAGGAAGGAGACCAGAGGTGTTTTCCTGGCTCAGGCCCAAAGATTATAAAAAGCCTATTGGTTCAGAGCACCGTGGTTGCCACCAGGGAAGGGGTCACTGGGTGGCAGCCTCTGAAAAGAAGGGAGCTCAGACAGATCCAGCTTGGCCTTGACCTCTTGCTGATGGTTCTGAGCGAGGTGAAGGGCAGGAGCCAGGCCACATGACAAGTCGGCAGGGTCACAGCCTCTTCCTAAGTGCAGGCTCCCAGGGGTAACTGCTTTTAATAGGAGGAAGTATTCATACACAGGTCTGCAGGAAAAGCCCTTCCTAGCCCCACCTGAGTGGTTACATTTTTCATGTAAGATTTATTTGTTTACAACGTATCCTGCCTAGTGAATATCTAGGGAATGACTGAGAGAAACTGTTTACCATGAAGGCATGAACAGGAGCCGTGTCTTGAATGTCAGCTCTGTGTTTCCAGTAACCTCCATGTCTTCATGGAGCTCTTCATCAGGCCCCAGAACTCCTCCTCCTACAGCTGCCCCTTCTGTGTTCAAGGCACATCCACCCACCAGCTGCCTGAACCCGACGCAGAAAAATCACCAGTTCCTGAAACTCTGCCCTTCACTTCAGAGGTCCTTTACACACACATTCATAGATCTGACCATGTCCATTTCCCCAAAGTCATCAACACGCCCCACAGCCTCCATGACCATTTCTTACTTCCTGTGTTTTGCCTTTAGGGCCTTATCACCTGCTCTGGTCTACTTTTTCCTTTGCTTTTTGATTTCGGAATAATAAACACTTATTATGGAAAATTTTAGCATTGCAGAAGCATACAATGTAAAGGTTGTGCACACTACTACAACATCTACCCTGCCTTCTGTCTCCTTCTCCAGATCATTATAGTTTGGTCTTTCCAGACCTCTTACTCTGCATATGCAACTCTCTTTGTGTTTGTGCACACACTATATATAGCATCATCCTGAGTGTCTTACTCTGCACCATGACCAACATTTTCCTTAATACCATAGCATGGGAGACTTTCCACAAGTACATAGACTATATAAAATATATATACTAAATATCATAGCTCTCTTTTTTGATTTTTAGGGTGTTGGAGATCTTCATATTATGGTAAGATAGGTCAAGACATAAAAATGAAATTCTAAGCTATATGATTATCTGCTGACAATCTTTTGTGCTTGAAGAAATACTTCACTAAAAAAAAAAAAAAATCAATGAGGATGGAGTTGAGGTGGCCACCGAGATAGCTGGTCCTACAGATTCACCTTGTTTTACAATTAAAATCTTGGTTTTCAGGTCTCAGCTAATGACATATTGATTTTACTTTTTCAGTATATAACTCAGCAACAAGAGTTTGGATCCTCCATTAGTGTTTATAGTGATGAAATTCCATCTATGTATTTGAGACCCATGGAAGCTCCAAGAATGGTGGGTCCCTATGTGTGGGCATTACAACTTCTTGCTCCAATAGTTTCATCTAGTTGTGATAAAACATCTGCCTTAAGAATTTACTGTTCCTTTTTGTGATCATTTGTGTTACTCACTGAAATAAGAAAGGAACATTCTGTAATGTTTACTTAAAAGATGGAATATTTTTGCCAGGCCAGGTGGTACTCTGGTAATCCCAGAGGATGGTACTCCTCAGAGTACCCAGGTGGTACTCTGATCCTCTGTAATCCCAGAGGATCTTGAGTTCAAGGCTAACCTGGGCTACATAGAAAGATCCTGTCTTAAAAAAAAAAAACAAAAACAAAATCCTAACTATTCTGAAGCAACAGCATTCTTTGTTATAACCTAAATTCTACAGGATTGGAAAGTGTCTGCTTTATTCATTCATCTTCATGGCCATATCCAATACCCAAGGACCTCAGTAAAATCAATCGATCTCTCTCTCTCTCTCTCTACTCTCTCAACACGGTCTTGCTCCGTAGTCCAGGCCACCCCTGAACTCATGATTTTCCTGTCTTAGCCTCCCAAGTGCTGGGATTACAGACATGAGCTCCCACACCCAGGATACTGTTCTTTTATACATGGATATTCTCTACTTGGCATTCTTAGTGGATATTTAATTGTTTCCATAAGAGATCCTATGATGAAGACTTGTGTGCATATTTCTTTGTGCATACACCTAAGGATTCTTATGTCATTGATTCCCAAGAATGATCAAAAGATGAAGAAATTTAAAATTTGTGGCAAGACCCTCCAAATGTCTGAACCTATGCTCATGTCCTCACAGCTTTGTGCACACTGGATGCTGTATGCCTTTTCAATATTTACTAGTCCAGCAGGCAGGAAAATAGCATGGTGGAAAGCACAAACTCTGGAATCAACCTGAGTTCAAGTCCTGACTGCATCATTAACTAGTAAGTCTCTCAACCTCTCAGGTTTTCTCATCTGTGAAATGGTGTAAATAACAAAACAAAACAAAACAAAAACCTACCACCTGCAGTTGTTAGGGGGATCAAGTAGCATATTCACATGACATGATGTTAGGGTGCCTGGCACATAGGAAGCCTTCACTCCATGAATATTAGCTATCATTCTTACCTGTAGGTACACTTGTATGGAGCTGGCATTAGACTTGAGTACTGAGTAGAGAAAGTGGAGCTCACAGTTATTGCTAAGAACCCAAAAAGCCTCAGGAGAGCTTCTCTCATTTATAGCCAAACTCCCAAGTCTCCAGGAACATCTGATGGGAGGTTTATGGAGCTGAGTGAGCCTGGGATGGGGCATCGGGGCACTGGGTATTTCACATTCTGAAGAATGAAGGACTTAAATCCAGAGTAAGCAATCCACATGTCAGATTTAAATGAAAAGCTTGTTTTAACAAGTCTCTAAGGTGCAGACAGGATCTTTCAAGGATCCTTAGAGTCCTTTTATGTTTCCCATAGGACCCTTTTCAAACCAACTATTTCCAGGCATTTACAGTTCATGCCTTGTTTAGATGACATTAATGCTTTCCCAAAGATATGCCAATTAAAATTAAAAAACCCCAAAGAAATGACAAGTCATTTGTGTCCAACTTCCATTTTGCCTTTAGTAAACATATTGGAAGATGTGACAGCTGTACTCAGACCTCGTGGCTACTGGTGCCAAATGGGAAAAGCACAGCCCCAAACTGGCCATGGACTGAGGTCAGATCAGAGGAAGGAGGGCTCAGGCGGGGTGACAACAGATCTGGGACAGGCTGGAGGCCAAAATGACAGCAGTATCAGGAGATGCAAATCTGAGCCCAGGGGAGAGAAAGCATGTGACTCTATCTGGGCCAGGGTGGAGCCCTCACCCCACACTGGCCCTCCCATGGACTCTAGAGCCAGTACATACCCAGGGCAAGCTCTAGGCACCTCTGCCATGCCACACACTCTGGCTGAATCTGTCACCAACCCCTAACACCTCACCTCCTCCCTGTTTCTGCACCTTCCTGGCTAGAAGCCAGGACAACCTTTGATTTCACCTTCCAGTCACAAGTCACAAGGTGTTTCTTCATCCTAAGGCCCCCTCTGCTCCTGGTGGCCCTAAGGCTACTCCCCAGACCCAGCTGATCTGAGTTGGAGTCAGCTCAGACAACTTGCCTGATGTCCCAACATGCTCCCCCCACACCCTGGAAGAGAAGGTAATGCAGTCTGTGATCAGAGAGGGAAAGGAATTAAATAAAAACTGAATTGAAAGAAACCAAATACTAATATCATATAATAACAATGTTAGCTACTGTTTTCATGTGCTAGGCACCTTGCTAATTACCCATATAGACATCTCATTTAATCTTCACAACACATTTGCAAGGCAGACATATTTTTTAATCTTTATGAACACATTTATTTGGCTAAATTAATTTCCCAGGTAGGCCATGGCCGAGCTAGGGTTAAACCACAGTGTGACTCTGGAGAGTTCATGTGGAGGGGTTAGAAGGGAGGCTGGGGCCCTAGAGAACCAGCCTCACCTCTTATGCTTCTGCCACCCCTAAGGCATGGCCTAGGGATTTTGAGTTCTGCATATTATAGCCATAGAAAGGCTTGTTATCAGACAGTGTTCACTGCTAAAGTTAATGCTGTCTTGAGAACCAGTTCTGATCGGAGTATGGTTGGGTGGGGGAGCAGTCCCCTTAAGTCAGAGGGAAATCGTCTGCTACAAAAGAGGGGGGAGCCTGATGTACTAAGTGCACACACAGTGATACACATGCTGCATGGATATAGAACTTTGCCTACCCCCAACAGCGCATATTTCCAGAAACCTCTGGAAGCAGCTATCATGTTCTCCACTGCAGAAATGGCCACTGATGTTCAGAGAAGTTGTTTGTGACCACCTAGGAACCTGGATTCCAACACAGGTGTTTCTGAGCACAAACTTAATCCCTTTCCATTTCCCCTGACTTTCTTCCCTCCACCCTCCTCACTTCCCTCCCCCATTTTGCTCATGTTTCAGCAAGAGCTCAGTTGACCCCGGTCAGCAGTTTCCTCTGAGGAGCCCCTGCTTTGAGGCACAGGCTCACCCAGTTTCCTCTGGGAGGGCAGCATCCAGAATCTTGCTTGGAGACTCCAGCAAGCAGTGTTTGGCATTATTTGCTTCTGCCCTTTCCCAGAATTCCCACTTACAACCCACAAAATTTGCAATCCTGATGGCCTCTAACTCTGAAGGTAACTTTTGCATCCCTTGGTGAGTGTCCTGTGATGAGCAGCAGGAAATGAGCCATTTTATGAGGTGATAACGGGGCTGTAAACATCTTTAAAATCAATTGTGCCCAACGGTAGCCTCCCATCATTTCTGCAGGCTCTGGGTTTATCGAGTCATAAATAAAACCAGACATGCTATGTCTGGTGGCACTTTACAGTTTGCCCGTATCTGTGGTCTACACTGCGGCCCTCTGCGGTAGGCAGATGGATGATCCCCAGTTCTCAGATGAGGTAATGGGACTCACCTCTCCTCTGAAACCCCTCTTGTTGAGGTCACCAATGACCTCTCCATACTAAATCCAATGACTACTTCCAGCCCTTGCCTTCTTCCATGACCGTTCAGCAGTGCTTGACAGAAGAGATCAGCTCCTCTTACTTATACACGCTTCACCTGACTCTGGGACTTGCTGCCTCTTCATTTCCTTCTTCTCTCCTCTGCTGACCACCTTCACCTTCCTCTACCCTCGGGCTTGAAGCCTTGGTCTTCTTTCCTCCCTTGATGATTTTGTCTAGTTTTAGGCCTAAAATAATCAACTGTAATAAGCTGATGACGCCTAGATATTAGTCTTCTATTCAGCCTCACCCCTGAACTCCAGACTTGTCCAACACTTTCATCTGGACATCTAGTTAGCATCTCAAACTCAACAATGTGTCTGAAACTGAATTCCTGATCTTCCTCCCCAAATCCAGCATCCCGCATCCTTCCCATCCCATCAATGGCAATGCCAGTGCTCCAGGCATCCTTGGCGCCCTCTCACACCTCACATCCAATCCATCAGCACTATCAACTCCACTTCCAAAGTGTCTTCATTATCCAGCCTTTTTCCATCACCTGCCCTGCCACCATCCTGGCCCAAGTCATAATGGTTATTCTCCTAGATTACTGCAATTATTATTTAGTGGGTCTCTGCTTCCTTTCTCTCGGCTACAGTTTGACTGTGATTTGAGTGTCTCCAGAAGGTAGCACCCCTCCAGAAGGGGAATGGTGTGAATCTTTGGGAGGTCCTTAAGTCAATTGAGGGCATGGCCTTTAGAGGGATTAAGGTATTTCCTGTGGGACCCTGGTTAGTTCTTGAGATTGGATTGTTAGAAAAGCCTGGAGACCCTACCCAGGCTCTCTCGGCTTCCTGTGATCATTTGCTTCTGCAAAGGCTCCTCTATTGCCATCTGTCATGATGTGACACAGCTGAGAGGGCTCTCATGCAAACCAAGCCCATGCAGGCACCATCACAAACATGACAAAAATCTAGAAGATGTAGTTAAACTCAAGAGTGAATCTTGAACCTCCAAAACTGTGAGCTACATAAACCTCTTTTCCTCCTCAGGTATTACATTATAGTAATGAAAACCTAATACACCTCCCTCCAGGCTCTTCTTCATGTGGTAGCCATATCAATCATGGTCTTCCTTTGGTCAAAATCTTCCACTGGCCTTGCATCTCACAGCAGATGAGGACTTTGCATGACCCCCAAGACCCTTCATGATCTGCCTCTCCTGCCTGTGACCTCACTAGCCACACCTGTTACTCTTCTTCACTTACTTTGTTTCAGCATCCGAGACTGCTTGCTTTTCTTTAGATGTGCCAGAAGCACTGCACATACTGTTCCCTACACCTGGAATGCTCCCTCCCAGATGTCAGAGCTCCAGGAAGGAGCATTTCACCTTTCAGTAAAGCCTCTGATGACCATGGCAGCTCCCTCCCTGTCTTCTATCTGAATATCGTTTCTCAATAACATTTGTCACTGTCCAATTTCCTGTGTGTTTTGCTTATTTATTTTTGATCATCTCTCTCCCCTGCTGGAATGGGAGCTCCAGGAGGGGAAAGGCTTTTGTTTTGCTCACTGCTGTACCCTCAGTGTTTAGATCTATGCTGGAAAAGGGCTCAGTCGATACTTGTTGAATGAATGAGAGGCTGGGATGGGGAAGGGACCCGTGTCCACCTGCACTACACTGGCCTAGGATGGAGCCGGAGATGTGTGACATGAAGAGACGGGCACTGGAGGAGCAGATAAGGGCATCAATTACAGAATGGGGTGAGAACTGCTGAGCTGGAGAAGAAGGGACAGCACACAGAGGCTATGATAGAAACCATGATCTAAGCTCCCTGGTTCGGAGCCTGCCTCAGGGGTGGCACCCCAGCCACCTTGCTGGCTGTCTCTAGTGCCCATTTCATGCTTTGTCCCCTGGGAAGCAGCTGCCATCACAAGCTGCTGTGTGATCAGCTATTTCAGAGCCAGAGAAGGTATCTGAGGCCCGTTAACAGATCCACAAGAAGATGATGCGTTTGCACAGAAGCATTTCAAATTCAATTTCTTTTTATTTCTTTTTGAACACAGCCTGTAATTCCAATGGGAAAATTGCATAATGCTCGTAGATGACAATTTTTCCAAGATGGTTTTGTGAAAGCAGCTTGGCATTTGTGAGGTGGAGAGAAAGGGCCCTCAGAGGGTTCACCCTACTCCTCTATCCCTCTGGCCACAGCTGTCCTTGGTGGGTGGGCAGCTCTGAGGTCCAGCAATGCCTGTGACCTTCCCTTGCTTGCATTGATTTAGTTTGTCCTTGGTTCTTTGGTTAAGGATGTACCAATCTTGGGGTCACTTTCATTTTCTGGATTTTTATCATGTCCTGTGTAACGTTTGTGACAGTCTGCTTCTCCTCTGAGTCTGGAGAGGTCAGAAGGATGGGGCATGTGTGGTCCTTGATGTTACCAGCCCCTCGTACCTGCTCTTCTGCCACTCCACCTCCTCATCTTCTAGCTCCAGCATTGGAGTAAACATAGTGCCAGGCCAGGGCTGGAGCCAAGAAGTGAAGATGGAGGACAGGACTATTTCCCCAGTCCTGTCCTCCATCACAAGGACAGGTTGCGTCTCTGAAGCCAGTGATGAAGTAGGGGCTGGGCTGTCCTCCCTGCATCCCCAACACCAGCCTGGCTTGCAGAGGGTATGTGGGGACTGTTTAAGGAGTGAATAATGAATTAGTTCATTAAAGCATTAATTAATGATAAGCTAGAGGGAGCCTCTGGCCTTTGCTGCCTTCCCAGGGGGTCTAAGGGCTCTTTTTCCAAGAGCGATGTGACTAGGATGCAGTGAAGGGTTTGTAAGTAGAAGAGTGATGTGATCTGATTTACATGTTTAGAGGGTTCTGCTGGCCACTGTGGGAGAGTAAGCTGTAGTAAGTAGGGCAAGAGGGGAGGAGGTATACCAGTCAGGTGGCCACTGTAGTGTCTGGGCAGGTGACACTGGACCAGGGGAGAGTGATGAAGGGGGTGAGAAGCTTGAGGTGTAAGACGTATATATGTTCAAGGTAGACTGGGCAGGATCTGCAGATGGGCTGGATGTGGATGAAGAGGGTCAAGGATGATTCCCAGGGGATGTATCGGGTGGGGTTGGGGCAGACAGATCTATGAGGCTGGAGTTTAGGGAGAGGTCCAGGCTGGAGATATAAATCTTAGTCACCAGCAGGTAGGTGGTAGTCATAGGACGGGTGACCTGGGAGTGAGGAGGATGGGGAGGAGCCCTGGAACCTCAGATGGGACTGCCAGAGAGTCAGGACAGTCTGTGCTGCCCCCATGCTGTCTGGACTGTCCCCCACTGCCACCACTGCCCACTGCTGAAGATATCACTGATGAGGCTCAGGAAAGACCAGAGGTGAAGCAGTAGTGGTAGCAAGCCCAGACAGCTCTTTTTTTGCAGTTTCCTGTGAAACAGTCAAGAAAAATAGCAGCAGCAAGGACATGTAATTATTTTTTAAAAGATGAATGCTTGGGTTGGTGGAGTGGCTCAAGTGGTAAAGCTCCTGCCTAGCAAGTGTGAGGCCCTGAGTACCAAAGCAGGAGCTGGACACAGCCTCTGGGAGGCGTGGTTTTCCAGCCTTGCAAGAATACAGAAGGAGCAGGCGGAGTGTGGCAGCTGTTGGCCTGTGGTTCTAAGCATTGCTAGGGCTGATGATGAGATTTCACTAAGCAGTAGTTATTGACTGAGCCCCTGATCTGTGCCAGGCTTCTCTGTAGGTGCTGGAGATGGAACCCTGAACTAAAGAGACACACTTGTCCTCATGGAGCCTTCATTCCAGAGTGTGAAGCAGACAGAAACAAATGAAGTTACACAGTGTGTTAGCCTGCTTTTTTTTTTTTTCTTTTTGATCCTTGTGACAAAATACCTGAGATAAACAATGTAGCTGGGTGCCAGAGACTCCTGCCTATAATTCTGGCTACTCAGGAGGCAGAGAGCAGGAGGACAGCAGTTTGAAGCCAACCTTGGCAAATAGTTCTTGAGACTCTCTATCTCAAAAATATCCAACATAAAACAGGGCTGGCAGAGTGGCTCAAGTGGTAGAGCACCTGCCTAGCAAGTATGGGACCCTAAGTTCAAACCCCAATACTGCCAAAAAACTACCCCTAAAAACCAACCAAAAAAAAATATGTAAGGAGGAGAGACTTATTTGGCTCATACTTTCAGAGGTTTCAGTTCATGGTCACTTGGCCCTGTTTCTTTGGGCCTGTGGCAGCACACTGCATCATGGTGGGAATGAGGGGAAAAGAGACTTGTTTACCTCATTGTGGTCAAGAAGAGGGGAAGAAGCTAGGGTCCCACTATTCCCTTCAAGGACAGAGCCCCCCTTTTTTCTACTATGTCCCACCTCCTAAAGGCTCTACCACCTCCCAGTAGTGCCACAGGCTGAGGAACAAACCTTCAATGCATGGGGGGATTTCCAATCCAAGCTACATCACAATTGCGCCAGAGTCCATTGCTTCTTTGGGGAATGTAAAGCAGCAAAGGCTGGCAGTGAGGGACAAGGTTGGGGGCAGGGAGGGATGTTGCAATGTTAAGTGTAGTGGAGGAAGGCTCCATTGATAAAGGGATTTGAGTAGTTGGAGATACAGATGATAATCCATATGAATAAGGCTGGGAAGGCACTCTATCAAAATGAAAATATGCTTTACATTCTAAAATGAGATCTTTAGAATTTAAGAAGATAACATGACCATATTTTAGGAAGTGAGAAAGAGAGAAAACAAAATAATTGCCCATAATTCCACCATCTTTACCCAGTAGCTACCAACAACTAGAATATTCATTTGTGTGTCTTTGTCACATAGTTGAACTCATAGCTTACACACACACACACACAAAACCCTTTCTCTTTTTTTTTTTTTACATTGTTATATGGTCTTTAGGTTCATCATTGAAAGAGTCATATCACAAATGAGGTTTTTTTCCTAAGATACATTAAATTTACAGAGCAAGGTACAGAACAGTTTATATTATAACCTATTTACATAATTATTGTGCAAAGAAATGATAGCGAGAAAGGAAATGAGTGTGTGTCTGTATGTGTGTTTCTGGAAGTACAAAGTATCTCTGGAAGGATATTTAAGAACTTGATAGGCTGGGCCTGATGGTGCACATCTGTAAACCCAGCTACTTGGGAAGCTGAGACAAAGGCAGGAGGATCCCATGTTTGAGGCCAGCCTGGGGCAAAGTTAGAAAGCCATTATCTCAAAAACAAAAACGAAGGGCTAGGGCATAGCTCAAGCCATAGAGGGAGGCCCTGGGTTCAATCCCCAGTACTGAGAACAACAATAAATTAAAAAAAAACAAAACTAAACCCAAAACTAAACCAAAACAAAAAAACTTTGACAAAAACAGCTGGCTTCATGGGGAGGAAAGGGTAATTAGGAAGCTGAGAAAAGGATGAGACTTTTCTCTTTTTTTTTTTTTTTTTTTTTGAGATAAGGTCTCGTACCCTGTGGCCCAGTCTGGCCTGGAATCACTTCAGCTTCTTAGGTGCTGAGATGGGTTACAGATGTCCAATAGCACCCAAGTTGAAGCTTTTCCCATATATCCTTACATGTCTTTTGAATTTCAAACCAGGTGAATATAGTATTGTCATGGAAGAAAAATGGAAAGAAGAAAGGCCACATCCACCCTGCTTTTTTTTTTTAAATTAGACAGCGATGAGGCTTTTGAGCAGGCACGGAATGGGGCTGATACCCTTGTGGGCAGAAGCGCGAAGGTCTAAGGACAGGCTGGGAGCTCAGGCAGCAGCCAGGAGGGTAGACAGGACAGCCACGGCAGTGGCAAAGCTCATAAGACAGCTGCTGATGGGTTCTTTACTTGACAGTTTCAGAGCCTGTTAAGCTCTGTTAGGCCAGGAGTAGCTTTAAAATAAAAACAGTTTCAAAAAGGATGAGAATTCATATGCATGTGGAGATCTCTCCCTCTCTCCTTCCCCACCAAGGAGCTTCGGACCCAGGTACTGTGCACGCAGGGAGCCTGTTTGTCTGGGTCCTTAAACATAATAGCATTTCACTTCATCACCTCCCTTTATCCACTGATTTCCTTAAAAAGCTTTCAAATTATTAAGTAATGAAACTCCAAATGACCTGGACAGGAAGTAAGTGTGCCTTAAGGTGCTCCGCACATTAGAAGCAAATATGGTTCCTGGGGATGTTGCTTTCTTAAATGGTGCTATTTAAATGCAAAGAAACAGCACTCACAAGCTGGAAAAGCTTAACCATTCCCATTCCTGAGACCCCCCACGGGGCTGAGGTTTGAGGACAGTTTTGGGATCTCCCAAGAAGAAACTTGATGTAGTTGGCACTAAATGGATGATCCTAGGAGGAATTTTAGATGTCATACACACATACACACACACAGACTGGCCTCTCCACGCTTCCTGTGGTCACAGCAGGTCCCTTAATGATGAAATCTCTCTTTTAGTTATTACTGTACCATCACCTAGCAGGAGTGAAGGAGTGGTGTAGTGGAATAAAACAGACCGAGGTTCAAATCTTGGCTCCACCACTTAAATGCTGTGCAAGTTTGAGGAAGTTGCTATTCTCTCTGAGCCCGATTCTTTATCTGTAAAACACAGGTTTATTGAAGTCCATTATGCGTCAGACACTGTGTTGAGCACTGGGCATAGAGCAGCAAATGACACTCTTTCTGTGCTTGTGGAGTTTATTTCTCATGGGTTAACAACAGAGCACAAGTGTTAAATGAGATAGTGGATGAAAGGGCCAGGCGCCCTGCAATGAAAAGGGCGGTGGCAATTACTCATTATATCTGTAGACTCTGCCCTCTTCTCTCAGTGTAATTCTTTTTTTAAATTTAAAAAAATTTTTTTTTGTTGTTCATTTATTCACATGTGCATACATTGTTTGGGTCATTTCTACACCCTGTCCTCCTCCCCCACCCTTTCCTTCCCCCCCTCTGTTTCAGGCAGGTCCCGTTCTGCCCTTGTGACTGATTTTGTTGAAGAAAAGACAAGCATAATAAGAAAGACAAAGCGTTTTTGCTAGTTAAGGATACAGAGAGATTCCTACTATTGCTCTTATGTACCCATGTGTTATGTCCCATGTTGATTCAACTCTAACTGATCTTTACATTGGTTCCTGATCCCCTGCTAGTGATAACCTGTGGATATCCTCTGGAGTGGGGACATCAAACGCTTTCATGTTTTGGGTTTCTACCTATTCCTATATCTCCCGTATGTGCTCTCCCCTTTTCTTGTGATCTAAGTCCAACAACATTGCTGCATTTGCCCTAGATCTAAAGTCTGCATATGAGGGAGAACATACGATTTTTGGTTTTCTGAGCCTGGCTGACCTCACTCAGAATGATGTACCCCAGTTCCATCCATTTACCTGCAAATGATAAGATTTCATTTTTCTTCATGGTTGAGTAAAATTCCATTGTGTACAAGTACCACATTTTCTTGATCCATTCATCAATAGAGGGGCATCTTGGCTGTTTCCATAACTTGGCTATTGTGA